CGACATGGTTCTTGATTCAGCCTCGCAGCGTTCCATGTTCGCACTCTGATGCAGATCGGACGACAAGCATGACTGACCCGCACGCTTGAGACGCTGTCGGTAGACATCTATTGTCTCTCCGAAAATAGATTGAAAGACTCCGCTAACGGCATCAAAATGGTCTCCCTTGCAAACCCAGACGTCAAATACCATTTGCCCATTTCTGGTGATTCAGAGACCGCCGCTTCTGAACAGCCTGGTATTAGGGTTTCTCCGAGTGACAAGGCTGAGTCCTCTCTGCTTGACCGGATCCCAGTCAACCGTCGATTATATGCAGTCAGACTACGAGGTTCATGTAGGTTAAGTAAGCGTCGAGATGTTAAACGCGCTTTATTTTTTCGTCTCCGCCTGTGATCTACCAACTGTAGCCCAGATGCAGTCAAGGATTGCTTTTTATCAACAGTGACATGATCTTCTTCGTTCCACTAAAAAGTCTGACATTGTCATTCTTGCCGGAGACTTAATTGCATGAGTGGGCCACCTGACACCAGGCGAGCACCATCTTCGGGGTAGTTTCGGCTTCGGTATTAGTCGATTAGACAATGGAGACTGACTACTGACTCTTAGTTCCGATCATCGCTTGTTTCTTTCGAGCACCAGTTTTCAGCACTCGAAGAGGCAGACTGCGACTTGGCACTCATATTCTTAAACGCAAGCGTGGTCCCAGTTTCACCACATAGCGGTAAGCTACAAATGACGTGGAAGCGTATCAGACTGCCGTTCGTACTGATCAACTTGTCTGGAATCTAATCGCGCACTTGTTCGCGCTAAGTTACGAATGCCTTTCGGAGGACCACCTAGGCGTACGCATTAGACACCGAGCGTAGAAAATCTGCAACATCCTGCGACGGTAACCAAATACCAGGGCGTCCTATCAACACTGGTTACCCCAGCTTTTGACGAAGATCTGAATTCACAGTGGATGGGATCCAAAAATGCTTTAGATACTGCCAGCATTGGTAGTTGCGGCGTCAAGCTCACCCGCCGAAAAGCTGGATCACTGCTGTCCCCTTGTCACTGATGAACAGACGCCGCTCAGTCCCGGTCGATTCTAGCTGTAGTGAAGAACTACGATCCCAAGATCGACATTCCCGCAACATTTTACAAAGAGACCATGAAATCTGGTGGTGTGAATGTGCTAGGGGGGTGGAACTCGCTAGCCTTTCTGGTACTACCAGAAAACTTTCCCGTCTTATCCGAGCTACCGAAGGTTTCTGATCTGGTGTAAACGAAACGATTTGCGAAGTGGATGGCCCACTAATCATTAATCTTCAAGGACGGTTGGAAAGATGGGCTGAACACTTTGGCTCGCGGTTTTGCTGGCCACCAGCTCCATCCGCTTCTCCTGGAGCGCTCACTGCGGTTGAGCGCTCACTCCCCACAGATCCGCCTTCTCCCCAGGAAGTATGGCGTGAACACCACTTCTCACAGCGTTATATAGCACCGGACCCTGGTGGCTTTCCTTCCGCCATTTTTTAAGATGGCGGCCATTCACTGGTCAGCGAACTTACTGATTTGTCCTCAGAAGTCTGGCTGAAAGAGAAGGTTCCATCATTTTTGGGTGAATCGATAGTCGTCCCCATCTTCAAAAAGAGTATTTGCACAGTGGGCTCCAACTACGAGGGCACCAGCTTGGTTCCGGTCGTATGTAAAATTCTGGTGTCCATCATACTTCGAAGGCTATCTCCAACGCACAAGTCGCCACAGCGGGAAAAACAGGTTGGGTTCCGCGCTGGCCGCGGTTGCATAGATCAAATACTCACATTCCACCAGAACATCTAGCTCCGCTGGGTACCAAAAACCAACCATTTTTGTATTCCTGGATATCCGCGCTACATTCAACTCTGTCTACAGGTCGGCATTGTGGTACTGTTTGTTGAGGACTGGCATCGCCGGAAAGTTCGTTTCCGTGCTACGTGCTATGTACAGTCTGACCTAGGGTAGAGTATGGCTTATGGCAAACATTCGGCTTTCAATGTGGTCTCCAGTGTAGTTCGACAAGGATGCCCTATCCCCCCCATTCCTTTTTCAATTTTGTCACTGAGAATGTCCTAAAGAGGGCTCTGGAAAATCCGTTGAGCGCTGGCATTCAACACCTCACAGGTAGCCAAGCTTCTGGCTTGGATTACGCTAATGATACTGTATTGCTGGATGACGGCCTACAAACCGTCCAACTTGCACTCAACCGCTTGGCGTTTGAAGCGTCAAAGTACGGGATAGCTTTTTCCCATCCAAGTGCAAAACATTTTTCCAATACTTTCAGATGCCTATACCTGCACACACCCTTGCTGATGAGACACTGGAGGTTACGGAGAGTTTTGTCTATCTGGGAAGTTGAATAAGAGCCGCTGGAGCTCTTGGAGACGAGATTTCGATGCGTATCACAAGAGCTCGCCTTGCTTTCTTTAAGCTGCGACGCTTGTGGCGCCGCCATGACATCCGTCTACGCAGCAGAGTGCGGGTTCATTGTACGACTGTCCTTGCTGTATCGTTGTACAATTGCAAGATTTGGCCTGTTCGTATCGTTGACTAGCGCCGTCACTCTGTTTTTCAGCACGATTGCTTGCGGTACACTGCCCGTGTGTGGTGGCTGCACCACGTAACCAATGTGGAAGTTAGACACGGTGTCTTGGGTGGAGGGAGCCATTCGCCTGAGGAACTCGTCCCGCTGCGTCAGCTGCGGTGGCTTGGACAAGTACTGCGCATGCCCACTCATCGTCTTCCGTGTCGGGTGTGGTTCGCGGTTGCTGGACAGGAATGGAGGAAACGGCGCCTTGAACAACATGCAATATGGAGAAGCTGCATGAAAAAACTGACTTAGCATTTGGCCTCGGTCGGTTGTTCTCGACTCCCCGGTTAGGACTTCAGAGATACAGAGTGTAGCCAATTGAGACCCTGGAAGTCATGCTTCAAGACTGACGTCAGTGGCGGGTGTGTACCTCTGCGTGTTGCGGTTATTTCCACTCCCTGCTCTAATAAAAGAAACAATTAAAAAAGCTCAACTCCTGAATAAAAACTAGTAAAAAATGTTGCAGTTTCTTGTTTTTCCTGTTTGTTTCCTGTTTTATTATTCCGCCATGACTCTGATGGCACAATGTCTGAACCACAGATTGTGGTATATATATATATATATATATATATATATATATGCGACAATTGCACTGAAGCAACGACGAGTGGACTGGAACCGAAGTAACGTAAGTAAACCATTAAAAAGCTTTTGATCCGTTGAATTACCGTATCCTGCTCCACAAGCTTCAGCACTATGGCGTTGGAGATCCAGTACTGGTATGTACCGGTAAGTTTCTTCGTGACGGCCAGTTGGAGGTTAGATCCCAAACAGCTTTTTGTCCGAACCAATACGATTTGGATGCGGCCTATCGAAGGGTACTGTCTTTTCTTAACCTTCATTAATGATTTAGCAAGAGTTATCACGTCAAATTTCTTATGACTTCAGGGCTTGACGCCCTAAAAGGGCTTAGACGACCACGATATTTTTTAGTGAGACCTCCATGACGTCTGGAACTGGTCGGTGAGGAAAGCACTGCCTTTGAATGTGGACAACTGCCGGGTTGTTCACATGCGCCATCCATACGCCTACGTCTACAAACTTAGGATGCACAATCTTCATACAAGCTCTAAGGAACGTGACCTCTATATGCTGGTACAGGACGACCTCGGTTGTTTCAGACAGCCACAGTCCGCTTCAACAAGTGGTAACCAGCATTGTCTTTTGTGGAGGGCACTCGGGAGTTTGGATTCATCCATCTTCTCTCTGATGTCCAATGCCTACTTGCGTCCACATGTTGAATATTCTATCTAGGCTTAGCAACCTTGGCTAAAGTGTGGCCTCGCAGCGTTCGGGACCCTATAACGTCAGGCAAAGAAAAATGTCAAGAGTTTGTGGCATGTTCCGTACTAGGAACGGCTGAAGAAATGAAGACACTGGCGGCTATGTGGATCTCAGTCAAGCATGCCACCACATTCTGAAACTCATCCCGAGCATCAAGCTGAGAGGCAGTAGCCTGCATGTGAGTCAACAATACGGTCATCAAGATTGTTGAGGAATTTTTCAACCCTTGAACGCCTTTCGAAAATTAGTTGTATTTGCCCTATCTTCACTGCTTTCAAAAACTCTTGTATATTGCCTTCATCTCCCTATACATTGTTATATGAACGGCTGCCTTGGAGTGTATTCCGGCTATGTTTTTAAAATTGTAATCCACAATGACGCACGTAAATCTGTGTAGACGACTGAGCAACCCAACTGCTTTTTGGCAAGGAGCATTAATCATATCGTTTTTATTCCGTTTTGCATGGTGCTATCACATTGTCACGATCCTACTTCTACTAAGTGGTTGCCCTGTCGCTTCACTGATGGAGATTTTATTTCGTTCACTTGTGGTCCCCGAATCTGCAATTCCATCCAACCTACGGAACATGTTAAGCCTAAGCATTTTTACCTGACGTAAACCATTGTTCTATCATACGCAACTTCGCACATTGACGTTAAATTTTGACCTCTCGGCCACATGTAAAGTGGGAAGCTAATAGCATAATTTACATGACTTCGGTTGCGCGTTTTGTTAAGCTAATTTGGCCATTGGTCGTTACATAACACTAGTGCATAGCCAATGACGACGGAAATCTTGCTGTGCTTGAGCTATGGTAACAGACCTTTCACTGTGATCCACTGATATTTTCACCCTAAAAGATGAGCCCTGGTCATTAGTTTGCAAGTTTTGAATGTATACCAAAATCTAAGTTGGTTTGATGATACCGTAGGGACTTACAGCTCCCTTTATTTACCTTTGAAGCAACTTTGCAAAACGTTTGGTTAGCTTCGCAGAATTTATCGCTCGATAAACTTAAGAGTCCTATGGCAATTATATCTGAAAACGGAATCCAACGGCTGTACAAGTGAGGTATGAAAACTTTATGCATTCATATCCTGAACTCACCTATTGTTTCGAGTTGATTCAGTGTGGCCTGGGCCGGACATCAGGGAAGAAGAACACGCCTTTTCGCTATTGCATTCGGGTTCGGTGCTAGGAGTAGTGCTCTATAGCGAAAATAAGCGTCAGAAATGTGCAGTCTGTGTCAGCGACAAGAACAATTTGCTTTTTTCATTAGAAACAAGACTGGCTGATATGGCAGTTTTATTTCATTGGACGTACATCTGGTTCAGTACTTATTAGACAGTATCGTTCGGTCAAGGTTAACCGCCGAGGCTAAATATGGATTCGGCTAATTTAGCGGCGTGGATGGCCGAGAAAAACTTTGAACGGCTTGAACGTTGGGAGATTATAAGTCTGGTGATCAGTCTGATATGCTAGGAAGTGATAATCCACTCATTGGTATAGGATGGTAAGTACAACGAACAGAGGGAGCATCTAAGAGCTCGCCTTCGTTCTGCTTTGGCTGCCCAACTTTGTCACACTTTTGTACGAAACTAAGTGATCGTACGATCCGGTGAGGTTAAAGTGAGGCATTTCAAAGTTTTGTCATCCTATCTCTGTTTAGGCCGATAAGTCGAAGCAGTGGAGCAGATCGAGTGCCCATGGGTTGATCATACCTTCCTTTGGGGCGTGAAGATATCACAATACTTTGGACACTATGGGTTTCCTTAGTTTTTAAGGCATCGGATGGCTTCTGCTTTGTCATCTTATGTTTGTTTGCCTGCTTCATCGCTGAACCATGAGTCCCATCATTCCCAAATCCTTGCTAGGTCAGGATTTGCCTGGCAGCGAAATGCAGTGATATGGTTGGCACACTATTTCGTGCCAAACACTACAAATCCGATGGTAAATTTGGATGTATCCGGTGCATACGCCAACACCAGGCGATAGTAGTGCGTCAACGCTACGTGCGAATGCCACGTTGCCATACGACCATAAGGGTAAAAACAATAGGAGGGAAGGGGATCGGTTTTGAATAATTCATGCCTTAACCAAATTAAAGCGAACAGAAGCGACCACATGACCAGAATGGGAAGACTTGTTGATCGGTTTCATGATCATTATTATCCCGTAGATGAAGTACAACTTTGATTTAAACAGATTATCCGCTAAGGAAACGATTACAAAGGCGCCATTCGTGTTGTTTGAGAGCCATACTAAGTAAGACTATGAAAAAGGTACGGGTTTTGCTACGTAGTGTACAGGAGATAACCCAAGAAGGACAGACAAGATCCAACCTAGTGTTCGTCAACTTCCAGAAGGCACGTCATCCGCTACTCCTTATGAACCTAATACCATTCCGGAACAGGCAAATTACACACGGCCCTATTCGGTAGGTTGTGACAGGGCAAAGGTAAAAGCACAGAAACCAACGAAACATATTCTAACATACTTGCCCCTATGACGAACCAACTTGATCACCTGCTCGACCGAATTAGACTAAGCTTTTGATATCGTCTTGCTCGGGGACGATCCCCATAGGATGCAATCGATCATTAACCGATTGCTGATTGAAGCGCCTAAGTATGCTATGTGTGTTACCTCCTCCAAGTACAATGTCCTTTTACAGGACTGGCAGGCTCCACTTCCCCCATTTCACCATCGAAGGCACACAGCTCGAACACGTAAATAGTCTGCCTATGTCTACCTAAGGAGCTGCGACTCTGCCGACGGCACTGTCAGATCAGAGATATCCATTCGTACCGTTAAAGCCCGGTTGGCATTTATCAAGTTAAGACATTTGCAGCGTCGTAGCGACGTTTCACTCTCGCTAAAGGACAGAGTTTAGAAAGCCTGTGTACGCGCGGTATTGTTGTACGGATGTGAATCCTGGCCGATCTGTGGGGAAGACATCCATAGTATTTCGGCCATTGACAGTAGCTGTTTGCAGAGGATTGCTTGCGTGCTTTGGCAAAACGAGTGCGGAATGATGAGGTAAGGTACCTCGTCTTTGGTATGGCGAATGCTCAGCTTTATAACATCGTCCGGCTGCGTCAGTTGAGATGGTTTGGACACGTCCTGCACATGTCTAACGTGCTTTACCACGCCGTGCCTAGTTTTCGCATGCAGGGTTACACGTGGAGGTCAACTGTCCACCTGGCGACAATGCGTGAAATCAATGACATCTTGCTTGACCATCGCTGGTCTTGTTCGAGTCCCCGGCTACGAACCCAAGTTAAACAATTCTAATGGCTCACATTGCTAGAAGCGATGGAGCAAAATCGGTCGCAGTGGAAATAATGTACACAAGTCTGCCTGAACGCAGGTTTACAAGAACACTAACACTTTAAAAGCTCAAAAATTGCACAATGACGTGTATAAAACGACAAAAAATTGTTGTTCCGTTTTCTCCGTTTTGCACAATTTATTATCCTTTATTTCAAATTTCGTGGTTTTGAACGGCGCAATGTCTATCTTATAGACTGTTGCTTATTTATTTATTTATTTATTTATTTATATATATCAGCGTTTAAGGACAGTCTGCGTACCTCATTTATGAGAAGAGGTTGCTGGTGACCAACACTAAGGAAGTTTCGTAGGTAACAAAGATCAAATGATGAAAACGTTTGTTCTAAGAAGAGAAGAAAATAAGTTGCACTACCGCGTAAGAGCTGCCGTTAATGTAGTTCTACAGAAACGTTACTTATGAGGAAAGGGTTATTAATATGTCACAAACTATGTGGCAGACAGCTGGGTGGCATTGTAACGTTTGCGCAGCATAACTTCGTGGTCACTGCTGATGTTACTATCAATGTAAGAGAAGTAGGCAACTAATTTTAGTTTTACGTCCCCAGGGCTCATCGTGATAGTAAAGGTCCAGTGATCTCATCCGCATCAGTGCACATTGGCTGAAGGAGAGAAACACACTGCAGATATCCTGCTGGAATACAAAATGCTCCCATCTATGAAAACAACGAGGTACAAAACAGTATAGAATACAAAAAAATAAAACGTTATTGGGCTGGAGTACGCAACATGTGGCCTAGCCTTTGGAACCTGGTGCGTGATATAACGGTGCCGAGCGGATCACTTGCTGCTCCCGCGACAAAATCCAGACGCCCAACCCACCCATTGCTCACAGTGTTCCAATCAGATGTGGCTATGGGAAGTCATGCCTCCTGCTAATAATATCTAGCAGATATGCGAACAGTGAGTCTAATCTGTGCTCACTGAGCATTTACTCATCCGGCTTGCCGGTGCTAGTAGCTGTAGATTCAGAACACCTGGCTTCCTTAGTTAGCTGTCCATCTGCCCACAGCGCGCGCGCAGACGTCCACCGAAACTAATTCAGAGATCGGCACGTACAAGCGCGTGGTCGGAGTCCACGCTCATGTTCCAGATCGAGCGATAGTTTCGGACACATGCTCTCCAGCGGTTATTGAGCGCAATGTCATCAATCTGCGTCCACGGCTGATCCGAGGCTGGTGGGCGCCATGTCACCTTTCGGCATATGCTGTGTTGGAAGCTACCGCTCACGAAAAATAAACGAGCATCTTCGCAAAGATGTAACAACCGTTCACTGTCATTCTAACGAAAGCCTACAGCGCGTTGGCCACCCAGCTAGTAGCTCCGCAACAGCACTTTTCATGGTCGACGAGCATAAAACATGCCAAGGGGGCCATGTATGTGCATGGCTTTCTGACACAAGCAGGTGGCCATGTAGCACGAAAGTACAGTAAGCATAGTTTGGTTGCACCAAATATTCCTAAACACACTTAATGCATAAATCGCGATTTTTTTCAGGATGGTGCAGCTCAGAGCACTGAGACACTGTTATCTGTGATTTGCCTTCATCCCGTTAGACAACTGGTCGAATCAGCAGGTGACTAACAATTTACCGTCTACCGGGATCAAGTAATGCACATTGCCTTCATTTAGAGGCTATTCCGGTGAAATCAGCTTTGCTGAGTGAACTTGTGATAATTCCCAAGAACCTGAAAGTTTAGCTTCTTGAAGTACAGCACACAGTTGATCCCAGCTACAATCCGCGCGCACTTCGAGCTCAGGCACTGAGTGAAAGTGTGCCGCGCATCCTTCTTTTTTGCTCGTAGTAAAGGAGCATGAGGATACTGGCGATGGTGATCCTCCATTTCGTGGCACAGCTCAGGTAATTGACGAGGCTACGAGGCCCATATATACTGGGTGGGTTTTGCTCTATAGCACATGTCAAGCAACTATGCAGGAATAGGGTAATCAGCTGCAACATACCTGATTGGAGAGCATTTTTCCAAGTTCATCGCCCCTGGGTGGCTTACGTCGCGGCAGATATTCGAAGTCTGAACTATCACCACATGTACCGCCCTGTTGTCAATAAGCCAGGCGATTTTGCTTACGCAATGTAACCACAGAAAAGGTAGGTGGTAGAAATACTATCGGGGATACATTTCTCTCCCTTTGAGCTGTAGCATTTACGTGCGCTAGATCGTCTAAATAAATTTTCATGTCTTAATTTATTGTCTATCGAACAGCAGAACAGGTGAGAAAGGGAAAACAATATTGGAGGCTACTGTCCAGATCCCGTTGGAGAAGCCGTTTGTAAAACTGTTCCAGTTGTTTACATCAGCCACATCTGCGAAGATATTTTAGCTCGTGATGATAGGCATCGGTTCAGTGTGTTCACCCAAGTGTTTGTCGTGACACACATCGTTATCAATATGGTTACATGATACTTGAGTCCCGGAGACGTCCCTCTCGGTGTGTCGTAGAGTAAGTGTTTCCCATGCGTCAGTACAACGTCGGATGGTCTCTTGTTAGCTGGGGTATGAGGGACTGTGATAATATGGATGCGCAGTGGAAGACTTGCAATATACTCATGTAGTTCAGCTTTGGCTTTTTCGCTGGGGGAAGACGAGAAGTTCAAACGGTGTACCGTAGATACGAGTATGCTTGTGCTTTGGTAGTGTGATGCTTACCAATGCAGTTCCAGCAGCAATCCAGCTCTGGAATGACCAACGGAGGGCAATACATGTCGGTCACAAAGCAGCTGTCTTCGTATCTTAGCCTTAAACAGCACCATGGCGTCGATAACCCGCGTCTTTGTGCCATCCACTCCTTCTTGTGCGGTCGGTTTGGAAGTGTTATTAACTGACGGTGATCTCGGTAT